TGGCCACGTGGATTTACTCGTTTTGTTGCTTCTTGAAGCTTTCCAGGGATTATCTGACCTTGGCGGTGGGGAGGGTTTTGGGGGGGTTGGCCACGGCCTTGCTCTTCTCCTCCTTCGAGGCCTGGTACGTCCACCAGCACCTGGAATGTCACGACTTCCCTCGGGAATGGCTCCTTGTCACCTCCAGCCAGGTGGCATTTTGGAACAACGTCATCGCCATGGGGGCGGGGGGGGTTGCAGATTTCTTGGCCGAGTGGTTGGGGTGGGGTCCCGTGGCCCCGTTTGTGGCTTCCATCCCTTTCCTGGTGGCCTCGGGGCTCTTGGCCCTTTGGAATTGGGATGAAAACTACGGGAAGCACCGAACGTTCTCCAGAACCTGCGGGGATGGTTTGAAGTGTCTCCTCAGCGACCGGCGTGTCCTGCTCCTGGGGACAATCCAGGCCCTCTTTGAGAGCATCATCTCCATCTTCATCTTCCTCTGGACACCCGTCCTGGATCCCTACGGAGCTCCTTTGGGAATTGTCTTCTCCTCCTTCATGGCCTCCAGTGCTCTGGGCTCCTCCCTGTACCACTTGGCCCTCACCTCCCGCTACCACCTCCAGCCCGTGCTCCTCCTGGGCCTCTCTGTGCTCTTCCTCTTCTTCCCCCTCTTCATCCTCACCTTCTCCACTAGCCCTGGCCAGGAGAACCCCACCGAGTCCTTCCTGGCCTTCCTCCTCCTCGAGTTCTCCTGTGGTCTTTACTTCCCAGCCATGGGATTCCTGCGGCGTCAAGTGGTGCCGGAGAAGGAGCTGCTGGGGGTGATGAACTGGTTTCGGGTCCCTCTCAACCTACTGGCCTGTCTGGGCTTACTGGTTCTCCACGGCAGCGACCACAGGACGGGGACCAGGAACATCCTGGGGGCCTGTGCTGGGCTGGCCCTGCTGGCCCTGGTGGCCGCCGGGCGACTCTTCTCCCGCAGCCGCTTGGAGCCCGAGCTGCGCCTGCCCGAGGGGCCCCCCCTGGGCTGAGGGGCGGGCTGGGGCCTGGGGGCTGTCACCCCCTGCAGGGGACAGGCTGGGGCCTGGGG